GTGAGTGTTGTATTAGACCAAATTTTCATGACAATATATGTTGTAAATATATGGTATTTTCTACTTCTGGATGGCATTGCTAAAATTAACTTGTAAAGAGTTCTGTTCAACTGCTTTAAAAATAAGCTCTTATAAGTTAAGAATCTTTAAATCCCAGAAATATAACTGAAACTAACTCAAATGTTTTTCAAGTTCATGTGATCTGGGATAATCTTTGATATTAAAGCTAGATTAAATTAGATTTAATGAGAATAGACATCTTAAGAGTTATCAACTTTGGATATATTTTTATTCTACCTAGGTTTGGTAAGAATTAACTCTTTATCTCTGTTACAAAATTTATTGGCAATAACGTGGTATGATAAAACTTTACTTAGAAATAGCTTCCAAAATCTTTTGATAACCTGAGACCTTAAAGTTTTGCTAAGCTAAGTAACTTAAGTTACATTCATTGAATATCTAGGTCATAAGATAAAATAACTCAACATTAGTTACTGAACATAGGTTTATCTACTAAAGACAAGTTTGGGTCTGTTAGTAAACATGTTTTGTGCATATTTGCTCTACTATGAAGAAATACATATTTCTAGAACTTAGGAAATATATTCATGAATTTGCCAATCTAAAGAATACTGGTGTAAAAGACAATTCACAATTGCTTATAGTTAATTTCCACCAGAAATTAAGGTTTCTGAGAGTTGAGGATTTTAATTCTAGTTAATACATGTAATGAAAGCCACTAGAAATAAGGGGAAACATCTCTGCATTCAACAAAGTAGGATATGTACTTTCAGTAAAAGGAGGTATAAAGAATGCAAACATGGTTTTTTTTTTGGTGTTGTTATTGCATGGAAAAAAACTAATTTTGTCCTATAGATTTTTTTAAAGGAAACTGGTTATTTAAAGAAGGAAAACTTAGGATAAAATCTGAATGTAAAAAAGAAAATTGTAGAAGGTTTGTGGAAAGGAATTTTAATGTGTGATCAAGCTGGCTAAAACTACAATGAATTTATTTAAAAATGATTTAAATATCAAAAGTAAGCTGGTGGAAAGTTAAAATTTTGTTTTCTCCTGTAAAAGGACCAAGTTTTCTTAGATTATTGGTCTGTTCTTAATAAGAAATTGTAAATGAAAGTTTCTTTTACCTTTAATATAATCTGCCTGAAAACAAAGATCTACGTCTGATCTTTACCAGATCTTTGGTTTTTTTAAAAGAAAACAGTCTTTTCAATATAAGAGCTAAGGCTTTTTAACTTTCTGTATTTGCCTACAAAGTCTTTAATAAGTTACTTTGGTTAAATGGATATTAAGTATTCTTTCATACTGACCTATGATCCTATTTAACCAGAAGTTTTAAAACCTTTTAATATTGTTCTAGTTATTATCCTAAAATGTGTGTCACAAAAATAAATTTTCCTGTCAATTCCATTCTCATTAAATCTTTAACAGTGGACAATAAATCTCTAAGAATTATGGCACATGTGAATGAAGTCCATTCTGCTTCTGCGAAAATTGGCACCTCGTTGCTAGACTTTTGCCATCCTGACATTCTTGTAGCCTGGCTGCAGTCTGCTCCTGAATCAGAGAAATGAAGATGAGTGAACAGTGACTGAAAACTAGACAAACAGAAACCCGAGATGGCTGCACGGTCCTTCCCGGCTCCCTGGCAAACTCCATGTTTTTGGTTTTTGCATTCTGTTACCTACCTTAGTGCATTTAAGAAAATTATTTTGGTCCCCAGAGGCGTCAGACCTCCCTCTGAGCACCTGAGCACCTGCTGCTGGACATAACTTAGCTGCCCCTTAACATGAGTTATCAGTATGTTTTTTTATTGTATGTATGTCTCCCGGATGGGAGGAAGCCTCTCTTTTCCCCAAGCCTGATGCCCTCACGATGGCAAAGAAACCGTTAAAGAATGTGTTTCCCACTTGTTATGCCTTCCATGGTTTCCAGTGAAAAAGGCACCTGCTTCACTGGGAAAGTCCTCTAAGCCTAAACGAAAGCCCTGCAGCCTTCTTGGGATCATCACCGTCTGTCATCCTCGACCATCAGGCAACGGGGAGGGAAGGAATGGGATCCCCAGATTTAAAACTTATAAACCTGTTGAAACCACTAGGCTTCCTTGGCTGAAGGGGTCGCCTTTGATTTTGAGAACTGTTCTCAGTACCCCCTTTTGAAAATGTAAACTTACTCAGCATCTGAGATCGTCACTGGCAGAACAAGGTCAGTTGGTGCACAACGTTTGCTGACCGCCTGTCGCCTCATGCTAGTCTGCAAGTCTTTCACGCCACAGGCTGAAGCCTCCCATCAGCAGGTGAAAGAGGCCTTCTCAGATCCCAGTTCAAAGGACTCTGTGGGCCCAGACTGGAGCCTGGCGACTGAGTATTTTGGAAACAGCATCAGGGGAAGACAGCTGGGGGGCCCCGTGGGAGGGACCTTCCCAGGTGCTCCTGGCCATCGTCACTGCCACAGAATCAGAAAGCATAGCCCTTGGACACATTTTTCACAACTGATGATGGCTGCACCTGACAGCTGGTCCTGTACAGACACAGGAGATGTCTGAATCAGATTAGCGAGGGAGAGAAGACGCAGACATCAGTGTAGACCGCTTCTGCCCAAGACGGTGGATCAAGACTTCATGCTTTAACTGGACGTGAAACCCTTTCTTCTCTTCCTTTCTTTTACTCTGATAGTGGCCTGGAAAGATCATCTGTGTCTCCCAGGCCAATGCTAGGGGGAGTACTCTGGAGTTTACAACCTTTTATTTCAGACTAGAAGGGAATCTAACTGTGCCCCTAACTTTTCACAGGGTAAATAAAATAGTCCATTGGTAGATTCCCCTAAATTTACATCATGGCGTTAGAAACTTCTAGAAGCCTTCACTCTAGTTTCTTTTGGCAGGTCCCTGTTTCCCTGGCTGGGGATAAGAGTAAATGGGAAGATGATCAAGAATTTCTTAATTCTGGAAGCAATAGCTGCCCGAGAAGATCCTTAGAGTCTCTGGCCTCAGTTATTCCTGATAATAAGATAGCCCTTGATAACCTTTTCTGAGAAAGGAGTGTCTGTGCTGTGGCCAACGCCACCTGCTGTACCTGGATCAACACTGCTGGGGAAGCCGAAACTCAGCTATGAAGGATCATAGAACAAGCCACATGGCTTAAAATGGTAGCTCTTTCAGAGGAGTTTTCTATGATTTCTTCAATTTTGATGGTGTGGGTCTTGGGTCTTTGGCTCCAAAGTGCACCCCAAACCCTGGGAATCATTCTGCTCACAGGTGTAATGATCTCCCTGTGCATCGCATCCCCTCAAAAGCTTTAAAGGATAATTGAAGAGAATGGCTACCTACAGACCATGAACCTGAAGTTAAACCTGTGAGTATCACAGAGGTAAAAACAAAGATTGTGGACACCACAGATAAGGAGCAACATCAGCGGCAGGAGCCACAGGGCGGTAGCTGGGAGCCGTGCTGATGCCTTGGCCTTCGATCACATCTCTCACTTAAGCTGAGAGTCAGATCAAAAGGGGGGAATTGTCAAACAGAAACCCACAGTCGCAGGGGAGCCATCAGGTGAGAAATTGGGGATCAACAGAGGGAAGGCTTAGAACCTCACCCCCCCTGTTTTGAGAGAAATCTGCATCCGTGGATGTTTTGTTGCCCTTGTCTAGCTCAGATTAACACTTAGTCCATAGGCACACACCTGATCATCTACACTTGCCCTCTTACAGCACTAAACTATGCTTTCTATCTTTATTTTGCATCTACCTACCACTTCAGCATTTTATTTAAAAAAAAATAAGGGAGAAATGTGGGATTCACATATAAATCAAGTAAAAAAATCAAATGAATAATCATATCTGACTTGATTGTTCATAGTTCATGATGTGTGATCAAAACTGAAAGTTTCTGTGATATGACTGCCCTTGCACTGCTCACCATGTAAGAACTTATTGACTATGTAAGAACTTGTTCACCATGTAAGAACTTGCTCGTTATGATTCAGAAGATTGGAGACTGTTGAGAGTTAGGCTTGGGGTGGATTAATGATTGTGCATTGAGTCCCCTATACAGAATTTTATTGTTGTTAACAACCATTTGATCAATAAATATGAGAGATGCCTTCTCAAAAAAAAGAAACACACAGGCCCAACATGGCATCACTTCTGCTAGGCCAAGTCACCAAACCAGAGCCTGGTAACTAAACCCAGTGACAGTCTCCACCTCCCCTCTAGAAATGCAGTCAGTCAGGAATTTTCTGGTAAGCATCAACAAGATAATGTCACATGCATCGTCTCCGTCCCCCAAAGGAACCCACTTAGTAAGACCCTTTGGTCCCCAGATGAAGGTGATCTCACCCAAAATAATCCTTTTTTCCCCTTCTGTTTATGATTTCCTTTAAAAACCACTCTCTCCCTGAAGCCCTTGGGAGCATCTCTACTTGCTAGAGGGTATGCTGTCCAATTTATGAATATGCTTAATAAAGCCAATTAGATCTTCAAATGTTCTTGGATGAATTTAGGTTTTCTTTTTTTAGCACAACATACCTTCTCCCCACAATCAGACTGTCTCTCTGGTTCTGCTGTCCTGACCCTGCTGCTCAGAGCCCACTACCATGCCCTGGCAGCCGGCGCTCATTTGGGCCCTGCCTTGGGTCTGCCAGCCTCACGTCTGAGCTGCTGTTTCATTCTAACTGCCCAGGTGGACGGAACACTGGATTTCAGGCACGAACCTGAGTACTGAGCACATGGCAGAGCCAGATCGCCGCTTCCCCACCGCACCCACCATGTCGTTACCTTCCATCGCAGTGCTCACACCTACTACTGAGGGTTCTGTTTCCTTCACTCTGGCTGTGTTTTTCTGGACCTGTGCCTGACTCCCATGGTAGGATGAAAGGGTGTCCTTAACCTTGGTGGTGACAGGCTAACACTGAGGTTGCTGATTGCAGGTTGGAGTGAGATCAGCAGAAGCTAGGATGACTGAGTTAAACACGCAGTGGACTCACCAGTGATGGTATAAACAGCAGTGATGGCCAAGAGGATGAAGATCGCCAGGTAAAGGTCCAGTCCCAAGGCCAGCTTGATGAATATGGCTCCGGAAAATATGTCCGACTACACAGGGAACAGTCGGGGTGGGAAAGAGGCATGTATGGTACCACATAGCTCTTCACAACGGCTCCCCACTAATGTTTACTGTAGCTGTATGGGTGCTCTCTGCCTTTCAGTCGGGGACTCCGTGGAAGCCGGGTCTCATCCTCAGAGGAGCAGTTACTAGACTGAGCCCAGCGTGGAGCAAGGAGTGGGGGGAAGGGACGGGAGATGTCTACCCTGCAGCCTGCGCACTGCCAGCAGGGAAACGACAATGGAAACGAGAGAAGTAGAGGACACAGTGAAGCGACGACTACCATTACGAAGAAAGTGCCTGAGCATGTTTGGGGTGGTAGGAAGTAAGACGCAGAACAAGTTGTTGGGGGCTTAATTATGAAGCAAATAGCTAGAGACACTGAGAAGAAATGAGATCGAGAGCGGGCACAGGTGAAGGGACTGGCCTTTAGCAGGAAGAGCCCGCAGCCTCAGAGCAATGGGAGAAGAGAGTGAGGTGGGTGTAGATTATCTGGCTGGGCTGGGCCTACTGACCCAGGCCTAAATTCTCTAGGTAAAGCAGGATATGAGGCTTTCTGCTAAGAGGCGAGGTCCAGGAGCTAAAAAGGAACCGGACGATTTCAAGTCCTTAACAGCCATATGTGGCTGGTGGACACGCAGGCATAGACCATTCCCATGATTGCAGAAAAATCTACTGGACAATGCGCTTAGGGCTGCCACGTTCATGCCCATCTACAGGGTTGGGGGAAGTGACTGTTTACCCACAGCGTTAGGACTTGTGTATTCGTGCCTGATCATTTCCAGGTGAGAACTCACATTATCGTATTAGGAATCCTTGACTTCTGTTTCTTTTACATACTACAATAAAGGCATTAAATGGATAATTTGGAATTATATGTAAGTAACATATTACCAATGATTTCTTAGTGTGGTGAAATATATATAACATAAAATCTGCCATTTTAGCCATTTTAACATGTTGAAGTTAATGGAATTAATTATATTCACAATGATTATATTTTTCATAAAAAAGAAGCATTTCATGACCCAGGATTTTCTTTTGCTCTTAAAGGATATTAGGGCAATTGTCAAAATCTAAGTCCTGTCAGCTACACATTTGTTTGTATCAAAGTCAACTTCCAGATTTTAAAATTTGCTGGGTGGTTTTCTAAAAGAATAGCAATGTCTTTAAGGCAAAAGTACATCATGTCTGCAGTGGTTCTTGAGATGTGTGTTATCGGAGGATGAGAACCAGTGAACGCAATGATCTTTTTCGGACCTGGGGCAGGGCCGGACTGTGAAGCTGTCCAGTCCTAAGTCCTCAAAATGTTCTATTTAATAAGTAATCAGGACAGATTCTGTTATCAGAGTGTAATAGTACACAAAAGGTCGTGTCAAAGATCAATCATTATTAATGTTGCTTAAAACAACCTTGTAGGTAGGAATGGACTCCTGCCACTGTTATCTTCCCAGCTGACTACAGACCGCAGGGTCACACACACGCTCTTGGCCTTCCTGCTCCTCCACTCAGCCCTCTGACGCCCCACCCCGCCCCACCACCGGGAGCCCCCCACTCCGAGAGGCTGCATCCCCTGAGGGCCCCTTTGGCCGCTGCCATTCTGCTCCAGCACTTTGTCCGTGCTCGTTAGGACCACAGAGCTGCAGATGTCCGGGCCAGAGGAGAGCTGGGAATTCACCGAGTCCCACCCGTTTGGGGAAACTGCAGGCTCCTCTGCTTCCCTCAGTTTCTCCTAACTTTCCCGTGCTGGGGGCTTGTTTAAGTGTCCCTCCCCTCCCCATGAGGATGACCTCCAATGCCACCTGGGAGGGACCACCCCTTTCCTGGGGGTCCTCTGCTTGCTCACACTCTGATCCAGCTTGCATTTAAACATATTTGCATATATTGTCCTAAAGTGCTTCTGATTTAATGTCTCAAATTCTTACATCCTTAACCGTATGGTGAACTCCTAGTGCACAGGAATCTTTATCACCCTTAGCACAGAGCTCAACAATATACAGAAGGGCCAGGAAATGCTCACGCTGCATGAGGAAAGTGCATGTGGTCTGATCTAAGCTGGTTCACTTCCAACGATGACTCTATTCAACGGAAGAGCAATGGCGAGGGTCAGCTTCTCTCGCGAGCTGCTTGGACTACAGACTTGCGGAGATGATTTCATCAGTCACTGATACATGGGGAGCAAGTGAGTTCCTTTTTCTACACTGCTGCTGAATTTTGAAATTCCTTTCTTTCTTCCTCAATGATTATCTCTGAGGAATTTAACTTTTGAAAAACGTTAGAATTCTTTTAATACTTATCTATAACATTTATTGTATAGGGGTGGTCTTAGATAAAATGACCTTAGAGTATATTTAAGAAAAGTCAGTGTAATAATACAGAGAACTTGCATTCTGGTTTCCGTGTCAGATAGTCAAGCTGAAAATGAAAATATAAATCTAGATTGGCTCAGACGAAGAGAAGAAAGAGATTATGGTGCAGAAGAAAGGCCGGGGAAGGAGAGTAGCCTCCTCATTTCCACCAGTAAATACTGTGTTACTGGAACAGGACATTTTGCCCTTTCTGAACATCCATGTTTTCATATCCTTAGTGCAAGGCAGGTTTACACTCAGGAGCGTCTCAGGACTTGTAATTCTTTTCCTTTGTGAATGTGGTGCCTCTGAAGCTCCCTTTTCCCACAAAACCTTGGTAGAGAGACCCTGGGTAGTTTAAGACACTCACATGGCATGACCCATGAAAGTTATTAATAGCCTGCCCAATGCTCTTCTGAACATTCTAGCCCCCATCGAAGTGACCTCACGAGGCTAAAACGCGCCGGACTCACCGAGATTCTCAAAGCCACGCAGATGAAGAGGGAGAGGACGGAGAGGTAGACCTGCAGTCGCTTCCCACCGAACCGCTTCCTCAGGTATTCTGGCATGGTCATCACCTGCAGAGGCAGATGGCAACGGGGTCACCCTCAGAGCCCGGCGCCCACAGGCAGGGAGCTGCATGGCACCTCGGGAATACGGAGGGGAGGTGGGCCTGGTCTCCGGGGAGAGCAGCAAGGCTGCCAGGAACACGGTCTTGGTATCAGAAAATCTTGGGGTCCGTTCCCAGATCTGCCACTTACTAGAAGTGTGACCTCTGGCAAATGGCAATCTGTCTGAACCTCCATTTTCTCATCTGTAAAATGGGGGTTTGATGTGAAGGTAGATGTGAAATACCTACAACGGTGCCAAATGCATGGTAGACACTCACCAGATAGCTGGTTATTTTCATAAACAATGTGGCAGTCCAGTAAAAACAGTATTACACTTGTAAGTAACGAACCACAATTATGGTTACATGATACACTGATAATCAAGCAAACTGCAAGTGCACATTTGGGTTTATATGTATGTGATTACTGAAAAGAAGAGTTTTATCCCTATTTAGAGACAAATCTGAAATATCAGTATCATTACTGACATATGAGATCGGCCATGTGATGTGCAGCATGAAAGGTGCAGTTTTCTGGTTCCTTCATAGCAAACTGACCTCACGATTTAATCTTCCCCAGTCTAAGAGAATGCTAAGTAAGCCTTTATATGATATTATCAAAAAAAGACAGGGGACTCCTGGTGGCTCAGGAACGGTGTGGGACGTGCTCAGACATGGTGAGCTGCACCCAGAAACACACGCATGATGGGCCTGGGTGGGGCCTGGCGCCAAGGAGAGCATTCTTCAGCAGAGCTCGTTTAAGCCTCGTACTGGAAGGGACCCAAGATGGGCACAGGGTGAATGTATGGTGACCTGCAGAGGTGCAGTCAGAAGACTTGCCCCCTAAGCACCCTCACCCCAGGAATTACCCCTGGAAATAACACATGATGGTCTGAGCACCAGCAGCAGAGGGACTAGGCTCAGAGAGGCCGGGCAGGGCTCCAGCTGGCTGGCAAAACGCACAGCGAAGGGCAGCCACCGTAGCTGCCGTGTGCCCTGGCCCTGACTTAAAGGAATGAAGTGACTTTACATTAGTCGGGGTGAGGATTTAATAACGTATGTAACTGTTGAATCACTAGGTTGTGTACTTGAAACCAATTAATATTGTATAGCAACTATACTTCAATAGGAAATAAGTAAAAATAAAAAAAAGAAAGAAACGGCTTTACAAATGTCACAATGGCAACAATTAGAATGAAGGAAAATACCATGTGTTGGTGAGGATGTGGGTAAATGGGAAGCCTCCCAAGACCTCTGAAAATGAAAATATAAATCTAGATTGGCTCAGACAAAGAGAAGAAAGAGATTATGGTGCAGAAGAAAGGTCGGGGAAGGAGAGTAGCCTCCTCATTTCCACCAGTAAATACTGTGTTACTGGAACAGGACATTTTGCCCTTTCTGAACATCCATTTTTTCATATCCTTAGTGCAAGGCAGGTTTACACTCAGGAGCGTCTCAGGACTTGTAATGCAGGTCGGCCGACTGCAGCCATCTTTTTTTTTTTATTAAGGTATGATTGATATACACTCTTATGAAGATTTCACATGAAAAAACAATGTGGTAACTACATTTACTCATATTATCAAGTCCCCACCCAGACCCCAGTGCAGTCACTGTCCATCAGTGAAGCAAGATGCCAGAGATCCACTATGTCCCTTTTCTGTGATACAGTTTGCCCCGTGAACCCCACACCATGTGTACTGAACATAATGCCCCTCAGTCCCCTTCTCCCTCCCTCCCCACCTGCCCTCCCACTCCACCCCCTTTGGTAACCGCTAGTTCCTTCTTGGAGTCTCTGAGTTGGCCGACTGCAGCCGTCTTCAAGAGCAATCTGGCTGCACTTAGTGGATTTATGTAAAAATAAGCCCAGAAATTCTGAGACAAATGATATTGCCCAGGTTTCCTGGTGAACAGAAAGAATGAATATGGATAAATGAATGCCTGGGAGATGCTCCAAGAGCACCTCTGGGTACTCACCCCTGCCTTGATGTAAATGGGGACGAAGAACCACCCTAGAACCAGCAGAAGCGCCAAGGCCTACAGGAAACCAAGAATAGGGTGAGGGGAGGGAGGCCTGGCTTGCGGGCCTTGCATTTCCTGCCCTCTGAGTCTGGGAACAAAGTAAGTATGCTTGGATTCTGTCCCACTCAACCAACTAGGATCCCAAGACAGCTGTGGATTCCTTTCCTGGTCCATGATTTAAAGGCCTCCGTTTCCTGGGGCTGTGGATGGGACAAGGGATGGATGGTGGAAAATGGACGGAAGATAAGAGATCTGAGCCCCGCTGGAAGGCCATACGACCTTTGCCAGCAAGGAATGCTGGAGTTAAGTGCAGAATGACAAAGCAATAAGAAAGAAATTTGGAGCTCGAAGAAAATCTCAGTGTCCGCCAAGCCTTGCCATGCACAATAGTGATAATAGTATAATCTTGCATTAGTATGAATGTTTACAAAGAGTCTTCACATGTATCCCGCATGCTGCTCTCACAACAACCAGGTGAGGCAGATACGGGAAGCATAATTATTCCTGTTTTATGGAGAGGGAAACTGAGCCTCACAAAGATTAAGGAAGCCCAAGGCCACTGGATAATCACACCCCTTGGGGCCATAGGGCATTTTGTCCCTGTCTCTGGAGGCTGGCTCCACTCTGGAGTCCTTGGCACTATCAAAACAGAACTGGGGCCGGAGAGCATATTGGGCGGCTGGGTCCAGTCCGGAGTCCCTGATATTACTAAAGTAAAACAAAGGCCAAACCTTCCCCAAGAGAGGGGCACAGGTATTTGTGGTGACCCAAGGTCACTCTCGCAGTCCATTCAGGGATGGTCTGGTCACTGTGGTAAACTTCTACCACAATCCAGCCTCCTTCCACACAAACCCCTCCCTCTGACGGACGTGCGTACACCTGCACCTGCCACACTAGGAAGGCTAACACAACAGAAAACGCAGGCAACTCAAGAAACATTTATGGCATGTGCCCGGCCAGGTCCTAGATGATGGGGCGGTATGAGTGACCTGGGAGATGATCCCTGTCCTTAAAGAACTTAGGGTCCAGTTAAGAGGACACAGCTCCTCCTGGTGATGTGGCCATAGAACAATCAGGAACTCAGTCTTGTAGATTCTATCTACTACTCCAAGTCATTCATTCCTTACCCTGGTCCTTCCTTAGTCAGGCCCCACCTGGTGAATTTCTAGCCATCCATCCAGCATCAGCCCCAGGAAGCATCCCCCACACGGGCCAAGCCCCACGTGTCATCTAGGATGGGTGGCCCTCCTGTGTGAGATCTCTCAACATGCCACAAACGTTTCCCTCTTCGTATGTTCCACACCACAGTGAATGGGTATCTCTCTCCCACTGGGGTGCCAGTGTCTCAAATGAAGGGACCGTTGCTTTTACATTTTTAATTCTCTGCATCCAATTGAGAGCGAGACACATAGTGTAATAGCTCATGGAGGAGAGATACATGTGAGGGCTGAGATGGTCAAGAAGGTCAAATGAAGGAGGGGATTCAATCATACAGTAATGACATTCCTGGTGGGAAAAACTGCTTGAGCCGCATCTCAGAGGTGGGGAATAATGTGCCTGGAATGGTCCGGGAAGAATGGGGCTGCACAGGGAAGACTGAAGTTCAAACTAGGGGTGGGAGAGGAGAAGGAAAAATAGAAATCAAACCAAAGAGGAGTTTATCTTATACAGACTCTCAGAATACTCTATCGCCTGGACAGTTTTGACGTGAAGGGAAAAGCCCGTATCACTTACATTCCATTCAAATTCTGCAGTGGCGATGCCTGAAGCCGCTCCCGTCCCCGCCAGGCCCACGAAGTGGCCGCTGCCGATGTTACTGGCGAAGAGAGAGGCGCCCATCTGGAATCCAAGAGAACAGACTGGGATCAGAGTTACAGGACCCCGATCAGACCTCGGGAGAGCAGGTAAACGTTGAGATGTTTCCATCACCACTCCTTAGGGCAGGGGTCTGCAAACTATGGCCCATGGGCTGAATCCCCCAGTTACCAGTTTTTGCGTGGTTGGTAAGCTAAGAATGTTTTCTTGCATTTTTGAATGGTTAAAAGAAGTCTGAAGAGGAATAATATTTTGTGAAACGCAAAATGATATGAAACTCAAGGTACAGTATCCACAAATCGTCTACTTGGAACACAGCCACGCTTGTTTTTGTGTATTGACTATGGCTGCGTCTGTGCTACAGAGGCAGTTTGTGTGGTTGTGGTTGATTATATGGCCCATAAACGCTAAAATACATACACTCTGGCCCGTATGGAAAAGCTTGATGACCTGCCTAAATGCTCTTGGTTGAGCCTTTCTTTGGCCCAGCACCGTCAGACTTCCCGGTGGCCCCCCGGAGTTGGGTAGGTCCTTCATCCTTCGGCCCTGAGGACCCTCTTCTCATCCGCCTCCCCTCCCATCGCATTGTCATTGTTCTTAAGTCTCTCAGATCAAGAGAGATCTCTTGAGGGGGCACGGGTGAGCGCCGGTGCAGACCAGACAGAGCTGGGCTGAGGAACACCCGCAGTGCCCATTCTTCTCTTCCCACCTCCCAGCCCTCTGTACAATCTTTTCTATTCAGGCCCTTGGGGCCAGGGATGGGATTGAACTCGTTTCTGGGGCTGGGATTGGTTGTCCTGAGTGCCGCATACGAACAGTCCTGAGAAGGCAATGTCTGACCCGACACCCCAGTAAAGAAATCCGTTTTGAGCTTTCTGGCCGGGTCGCTTCCTCGTCTCCGCTTCCCTTCTTACTACTGAGTCAGCGTATCTGTGAAGGAAGCGTGTACTGAGCACCCACTGTGTACCCGACCCGCTGCCGACACCGAGTGGTGCAGACACACTGTCATTTACTGGAATGAGAGGGGACTGCCCTGAGGGGGGGGATGTAGGAGAAGGGACCCCAGCAAGTAGGAAACCCATGCGCATCGGAAATGACCAGCGTTGCCAATGTTTTCTTTATTTACTCTTAAACACACACACAGGAGATTTATCTCCAGGAAACTCTGGCCCACTCACCGGCCACCAGGACACATCCCGACCGGCCAGGAAGAAGCCTCCGACGGTGCCCCTGTTGGTCTTCAGCATCGCCTGGGCAGGAGGGGAGGCAGGGGAGGGTCAAAGTGCACAGATGCACCCCAGACCCCCCACTTGCCCATCCGGGGTTTGTGTGGCAGTGACTTTTCAGCCTCTCAAAGCGACACATTTTCCTGGAAACCGTGACACAGCAATCATTTTTACAGGACTTCAAAACCATAGTTGCATAGAAACTTTAAGAAATATCAGGCTTCTGTCCTAATTGCTCTGCTTATTTCCATTTATGAAACAAATGTGAGAAATGGAAGGAAATTTGCAGCCTCTCACCCCTTACTGAAAAGAAGAATGGAGGGTAAATGAATTGAGTATCCAACTCACTCACTTAGAAAGTGAGCAAATAATAAAGGAAATGGAAGATGGGAGACAATAAGAATAGCACCTTTATTCATTATGCCAGCGCTGGAGATGCCGAGCAGAGTAAGTGTGAAGTTCCCACTTCTGGCTCTGTTCAGATGATGGCATTGTCAGCAGAAATAAATAGTCAGCATAAGCAGTATTTATGTCACACACAAGAAAATGATTCTCAGAGGACAATGAAATCTGTGACAGCTGTTGGCGTTCTTGCAGCTTTGTTACCCCACAGCTTTCTCTAAAAAAGACAATTTGCCTGCAAGCCTCGTGCCCACCCTGAACACCCTCTCGGGCCCCCACATACCCACAGCCCGACAGCCATCACCACCACGAAGTAGATGACAATGACAGAGATGTCAGCAGCATTTTGGATGCGCTCTGACATCTCGGGAGGACTCGGGGTCTCAGTCATGGTGCTGGGGCTTAACGTGCTGGCCATGGCTGCAGGAGATGCCTTCTCCATCCCAGGACGGCCCTTCCTTATAAGCTGTGAGTTAATGATCAGCCCGGAAGAGGTGCGGCATGCTCTCAGAGCACAGGGACTTTAAACCTCTTCGAGTCAGAGACCCTGGCCTTCCGGCAGTCAGTGTGGGAGTGGGGGCGAGAGCCCAGACGTGGGGTGGGAGTTGAATGTGGAGAGTGGGGGGTTCACTGAGGGGAAAGTTGGGGTCTTGAGGATGTTGTGAGCAGGTTGAGTGAGGATTAGGGATAGATGCAGGAGACAAGAAGGGGAGGGGGCCAGAGATGAGAAGACCCCAAAAGTCAGGAGGACAGGGGTGATGGTCCCTGACAGAGCTGGTACGATTCCTGGCCAAGGAGTCACATCCCTTGAAAGTGCAGTTAACTGTGCACGTCGTGGGTTGCGTAGCTCCATATTCCTTCAGAGCAGGTAATCTAAGTGGACTCTACTTGACACATGGGACCATGGTGGCCCACGCAGGAAAGGGCAGGGGCTCTACAAGCCTGGCACGTGGGTCCAGGCAGGGCTGTGGGGTGGACTAGGACAGAGGATCTGCCAGCGGGTGAATCAACCTAAAAGAATATGAAGGTGCTTCTCAGGATTCGGGGCCCGTGATCCATGGGCTGCCTGAAACTTCCTAAAGACCCCATATTGTTATTATGGTGAAAAAGACATAACAAAATTGATCACTGTAGCCGTTTATTAAGTGTGCAATTCAGTGGCATTATGTACATTCTCAATCTTGTGCAACCACCATCACCATCCATTTTTCCAGAACTTTGTCACCAACCCTAGCAGAAATTCTGTTCCCAACGAGCAGTAACTCCACAATCCTCCTCTTCCCAGCCTCTACTCTACGTACCTCCCACGTGGATCTGTGCCCCAGCTGACCCTGAGCCAGGCACAGAGGGCAATCTGCACAGACTGAAGGAAAGACCCAGAGACAGCCATCGAGACCTAGCTTTGCTGGGGGAACTTACGGACAGGGAGCCCAGGAGCGGCCGACTGGACAGGGCATTGGCTGCCAGGGCCTACATGCAGCAAGCTTTCATTGTGCGGCAACGAGCCTAACAGCTACCTGGGGCTTCTCCCCTTCCAGTGTCCCCAAGAGATCAAGGCCTGACTTCCGGACATTCTTCATTACCACAGAGATGCCCCAGTTGCCGCCCCGGAATCTCTGACCTTGACTCACCAAACAGCACGTTGTGTTGCATCTTTTGCTTGGTGGGAATACAGAGTGAGGATGAGAACTGTGTCTTTTCAAGATAATGAAGATGTGGGGCTTGTACCGACCTGCCATCTAGCATGTGCCTTACGTCACACAAGTGGGATCATACATTACAGCTCAGGCTTATTTCACTTAGCATGATGTTTTCAAGATTCATCCATGTTTTAGCGTATATCAGAATTGTATTCCTTTTCAAGGCTGAATAATATTCTACTGCACATACAGATTTACATTTTGATTATCCATTTATCTGTTGATGGACACTTGGGTTGTTTCCACCTTCTGGCTATTGTGAATGATGCTGCTGTGAACATGGGTGGACAAACATCTGTTTGAGTGCCCGCTTTCAATTCTTTTGAGTATACACCTAGAAATAGAATGGCTGGGTCCTTTTATCATTTTGTTTAACAGTTTAAGGAACCACCGAACTGTTTTCTGTGGCAGCTGCATCATTTTACTTTCCCAGCAGCAATGTACAGCGTTCCAAGTTCTCCATATATGCACCAATATATGTTCTTTTCAGTTTTAAAAATTATAGCCATCCTTGTAGATGTGAAGTGGTATCTTACTGTGGTTTTGATTTGCATTTCTAATGCAATGATTAATGATGTTGAACATCTTTTCATGTGCTTATTGGCTATTTATATATATTTTTGGAAAAATGTCTATTTAAGTCCTTTGCCCATTTTACACTGGATTGCTGTTTTTGATTTGTAGTTCTTAGATATCCTAGATGTTAATCCCTTATCATAGATATAGTTTGAAAACATTTTTTCCCTATTCTGTGGGTTGTATTTTATTTCTCTTGATAGTGTCCTCTGATAAAATTTTGATGAAGTTCAATACTTTTTTCGTTGCTTCTGCTATTAGTGTCATATTCATCACCAAATCCAATGTCATAAAAATTTTACCCTATGTTTATAACTTCATCTTTTAAGTTTAGGTCTTTGAATCATTTTGAGTTAATTTTTTGTATATGGTGTAAGAAAGTAAGGGTCCAGCTTCACTCATTTTCATGTGGATATCCAGTTTTTAAGCACCAGGTGCTGAAGACTGTTCTTTCCCATTGAATTATCTTACACCCTTGCAAAAATCATTTAGCCTCATCTGCAAGGGTTTGTTTCTGGGCTCTCTGTTCTATTCCATTGCTCTACATGTTAGTCCTATGCTAGTGGTATACTGTTTTGATTACTGTAGCTTCTTAAGTTTTGAAATCAGGAAGTGTCAGACATCCATGTTTATTCATCTTTTCCAAGATAGTTTGGCTATCCAAGGTCCCTTGAGATTCCATGTGAATTTTACGCATATGTTGTGAAATTATTAGCACAATAAGCTAATGAACATATGCATCACCTCACATAGTTACCATTCTTTTTTTGTGTGTGCATGTGTGAGAACAGTTAAAATCTACTATCTTAGCAAATTTACAGTATGTATTATTAATTATAATCACCATGCTGTACATTAGACCCCAGAATTTATTCATCCTACAGAACTGAGACTTTGTAACCTTTGACCAACATTTCCCTACTTTCCCCCTTCCCCCAGCCTCTGGTAAGCACGATTCTGCTCTCTGATTCTGAAAGCTTACCTGTTTTGTGTTCCTCTAGAAGTGAGGTCATGCGATACTTGTCTTTCTGTAGCTGGCTTACTTCACTTAGCATAATGTCCTTCAGATTCATCCATGTTGTCACAAATTGCTGGATTTCCTTCTTTTTAAAGGCAGAATAATATTCTAGTGTGTGGGTGCATGCTACATTTTCTTTACATCCATTCATCTGTCAGGAAACAAACACTTTGATTGTGTCCATATCTTAGCTATTGTGAATAATGCTGTGTGAGCATGGAAGTGTAAATAACTGGAGATATTACTTCATTTCTTTTGGATACATACCCAGGTGTGGGCTTGCTGGGTCGTATGGTGTTACATACTGTTTTTCATAATGGCTGTACCAATTCACATTCCGGTCAGCAGTGCGCAAGGATTCCTTTTTCTCCGCATCCTTGCCAATCCTTGCTATTTCTTGTCTTTTTGATGATAGCCATCCTAACTGGTATAAGGTCATATATCCTATTGGTTTTGATTTGCATTTCCCTGATCATTAGTGATGTTGAGCACCTTTTCATGTGCATGTTGGGCATTTATATGTTTTCTTTGGAAAAAATGTCTAAGTCCTTTGTCCATTTTAAAATCAGATGATTTGTTTTGGGGTTGAGTCGTATGAGTTCTTTAGATATTTTAGATATAACCCTTTACCAGATATATAACATAAATACTTTCTCCCATTCCATAGGTCGCCTCTTCATTTTGTTGATTGTTCACTTTGCCGTGCAGAAGCTTTTAAGTTTAATGTAGTTCCGCATATTTATTTTTTATTTTGTTGCCTGGGCTTATGGTGCCATATCCAAAAAAAATCACCGTGAAGAGCAATGCCAAGGAGAGTTTTTTCACTGTATTTTCTTTTAAGAATTTTCAATTCAGGTCTTAGAGTATTTAATCCATTTTGAGTTAATTTTTGTGAGTGGTATAAGGTGGAGATCCACTTTAATCATTTTGCATGTGGTATCCACTTTCTCCATTCCCCAGCACCATTTATGAAAGAGTCTATCCTTTTCCACTGTGTGTTCTTGGCATCCTCATTAAAGAGTGATTGACCATATATGCGTGAGTTTATTCCTGGGCCCTTGATTCTGTTCCATTGGTCTGTGTGTCTCTTTTTATGCCAGGACCAGACTGTTTTGCATACTTTAGCTTTGTGATATAGTTTGAAATCAGGAAGTCTGATGCCTCCAGCTAAGTTCCTCTTTCTCAAGATTGATTTGTCTTTTGGGGGGCTTTTGTGGTGAGACTATTTTTTCTATTTCTGTGAAAAAAAATCACTGGAATTTTAATAGAGATCACATTGCACCTGTAGATTGATTTGGGTGGTATGGACATTTTGGTGTATTAACTCTCCCAATCCATGAACATGGAATATCTTCCCTTTATTTATGTCTTCTTCCATTTATTTAATCAAAGTTCTATAGTTTTCAGTGTACAGACTGTTCACCTGCTTGGTTAAATTTATTCCTAAGGATTTTATTATTTTTGATGTTGTATATGGGATTGTTTCCTTTATTTTCTGGATAGTTCGTTGTTAGTGTACAGAAATGCAACAGATTTTTGTATGATGATTATATATCCTGCAAATTTACTGAATTTGTTTATTAGTGTTAATAGTTTTTTTTGCTGAGGTCTTCAGGATTTTCTAAATGTAAGATCATGTCATCAGCAAACAGGCAATTTTATTTTTTCCTTTCCAATTTGGAGGCCTTTTATTTATTTTTATTGCCTAATTGCTCTGGCTAGGATCTCCACTACTATGTTGGATGGGAGGAGTGAGAGGGGACACTCTTGCCTTGTTCCTGATCTTAGAAGAAAAGCTTTCAGGTTTTCACCAGTGAGTACGTTGTTAGCTGTGGGTTTGTCATGTGTGGCCTTTATTGTGTTTAGGTAAGTCCCTCCTATACTTATTTTGTCGAGAGTTTGAATTTTGTCAAATGCTCTTTCTGAATCCGTGTCTGGCTCTGCAGACAGGACCACTGTCAGTGAGTCACAAGCTCACTTTCTCAGAACGCCGCTCCTCGGTCTTGGGCTCCATCACGGCTTCACAGTCTCCTGCTGGGATCCACCGCTGTCCGTGGATGGCCACCAAATCAATGTTGATGAGAAGGGATCCTCGTGGGGGAACTTCTATTCCGCCACCTTGTC